CGTGCATTTTTATCAATGCAAACAATGACTGTAAAATACACCAAAACCTCAACAATGCGCTGTAATATTTCAGCATCTGTCCAAACATACAATACAATATGTTTTCATCCCTGTAAACACTAATACCTGAGAGATCCGGCTGCAAATACATGTGCATTAATGGATCATAATCTTACTTTTTAAAGTATGGTTTTATCACCTGTTCATCTCACACTCATTTCTGTCGTGATTTTATGAGCTTTGTAGAGTTTCAGCTTTATGAGCAATTAAATCCAGTGTGATGAAGTTTACAAAAGTAGGTCAGCAGTCGAACTGAAGTTTCGAGTTTAGTGGGTAGAAATGTATTTTTCCTCTTCCTGTTTATACAGGAGCTGTTGAGCAGAAACAGGCCATTCATAGGCCATTCATAGGCCATTCATAGGCGATTCATAGGCCATTCATAGGCCATTCATAGGCGATTCATAGGCCATTCATAGGCCATTCATATGTGAGAAATACCGAAGATAAGACAGAAATATCTTGAGTGAATCTTCAGGCACTTAAAAAAATCCCAGGTCATAAAAAATATTCATAAGTATAACAAATGAAACAGATCAGCACGTTCTAGTTGCTTAAATGTCATGAAAGAAAGATATTATTATTAAGATCTATTTTTGTCTGGGTGTGTGCGAGTGTGTGTGAGCATGAGTGTGTGTATTTGTCTGAGTGTGTGCATGTGAGAGAGAGAGAGAGAGTGTGTGTGTGTGTGTGTGTGCGCGAGTATGTGTGTGTTTGTGAGAGAGAGTGTGTGTGTGTTTGTGTGTGTGTGCGAATATGTGTGTGTTTGTAAGAGAGAATGTGTGTGTGTGGATGTGAGTGTGTGTGTGTGTGTGTGTATTTGTCTGAGTGTGTGCATGAGAGAGAGAGTGTGTGTGTGCTAGTATGTGTGTGTTTGTGAGAGAGAGAGAGAGAGAGAAAGAGTCTTTGTGTGTGTGTGCGTATGTGTGTGTGCGTGAGTATGTGTGTGTTTGTGAGAGAGAGAGAGAGAAAGAGTGTTTGTGTGTGTGTGTGTGTGTGTGTGCGTGAGTATGTGTGTGTTTGTGAGAGAGAGAGAGAGTGTGTGTGTGTGTGTGCGTGAGTATGTGTGTGTTTGTGAGAGAGAGAGAGAGAGTGTGTGTGTGTGTGTGTGTGTGTGTGTGCGTGAGTATGTGTGTGTGTTTGTGAGAGAGAGTGTGTGTGTGTTTGTGTGTGTGTGCGAATATGTGTGTGTTTGTGTGAGAGAGAATGTGTGTGTGTGTTTGTGTGTGGATGTGAGTGTGTGTGTGTGTATTTATCTGAGTGTGTGCATGTGAGAGAGAGTGTGTGTGTGTGCGAGTATGTGTGTGTTTGTGAGAGAGAGAGAGAGAGAGAGAGAGTGTGTGTATGTGTCTGCGTATGTGTGTGTGCGCGAGTATGTGTGTGTTTGTGAGAGACAGTGTGTGTGTTTGTGTGTGTGTGTTAGGGGTGGAACGGTACATGTATTCGTACCGAACCGAAACGGTACGGGCGTCACGGTTCGGTGCACGAATTTACACGGAGAATACACGGTATAAAAATAAATAAAACTCGCGTGGAAATTAATTAATGTAATGCGGAACTACTGTTAGATACGCGGGTTCTTTAGGGACACATAATCTTTACCATCGGCTTAGCTCTGAACGCGCGTTCACTTCAAACGTTGGCTTATACGCGCGTCCTATTCGCTTTGGACTAGCGTCGAACAAGACGCGAAAGACGCGAATTTAACGCTCTATTCGCGTTTGGTGTGACCACATAATGAACAGGCTGCGATGTCAAGATTGCAATGCTGGAGTGTGTGTGCTTATGTGTGTGTGTGTGACTGTGAGAGAGAGGCGCGGCCGCGATCGAACAGTGGAAACATAAAAAACATACTCCGTCATTTTGTTCATACAGATCATTAAACCTGCAAAGTGTTTACTTATATTTGTGTACACTCGCAATAAAACACAACATTGTCCTTTTGTCACACTGTAAACTCTTGTCAAACTGTAACCTACAACTGTCACTCAACCAAAATCTCTCTCTCTCTCTCTCTCTCTCTCTCTCTCTCTCTCTCTCTCTCTCTCTCTCTCTCTCTCTCTCTCTCTCTCTCTCTCTCACACACACACACACACACACACACACACTGTTTTAAAAGCAAAACATATTTATCCAACTCCATTTCAAAACAGTCTGTGGGTCCCATCTTTTGGACATTCATCGCATTGGTTTTCATTTCTTGTCCTCGGAGCGCTAATCTTAAACATTCTACATTGATTAAAAAAGAAAATCGAATGCGTTATTAATGGTAGTATTATTTTATACAGAAATCAATTATTTATAATTCAGATGAGAATAATGTTACATTGTTAATTAATAATGTTAATTAAAATTAAGGAAAACAAATATATTGATCTGAAATATAGCAAATTAATTTTAAATTAATTCAGGTACAATTACCAAACATATCGCAAGGTCTTTTTGTCTTTTTATTAATTTAATTAATAAACTAATTATATAAAACTATTGTCAGTGCACTACAAATAAACTGGTTCTATGCCTTTATTAATAAAACTTATTTTAAAAATACAATGCCTTCTGCATTTTTGTTTTGCTTTTCCCTCCATTGTACCGAAATCGTACCGAACCGTGATGTCTGAACCGAACCGTGATGTCTGAACCGAGGTATGAACCGAACCGTGACTTCTGTGTACCGTTCCACCCCTAGTGTGTGTGTGTGTGTGTGTGTGTGCGCGAGTATGTGTGTGTTTGTGAGAGAGAGAGAGAGAGAGAGAGAGTGAGTGTGTGTGTGTGTGTGTGTGTGTGCGCGAGTATGTGTGTGTTTGTGAGAGAGAGAGAGAGAGTGTGTGTGTGTGTGTGTGTGTGCGTGTGTCTGTCTTCAGGCACTTAAAATTCCAGGTTATAAACATATTCATAAGCATAACTCCTGAAACACATCAGATCCGCAGGTTCCAGTTGCTTGAGCGTCACGAGCGCGAGCGGATGCAGGAGACAGTCACTCTGAAACTCACGGCTGAGGAAACGCTGCAGAAATAATCTGCTTCATTCATGGGATTTTCAGAAAGAAATGCATTTATGCAGCAGAATTATGACGAAATGACTTTACTGTAAAGCGCTTTTGCTTTGTTCTGCAATCGTGCAAGAGATTGTTACGCAATTTCTACAGTTACTGCGGCGCTCGGCTGGTCTTATAAACGCACGCGCCGGTGGTGCCGGAACCAGATCAGCCCAGACACTCATAACTCATAACTCATAAATCAGAAATATCTTAATCGTTTCTCCTAGACGACCGGAAATCATCACTTCCTGCTTTATCAATGTCAATGATGCCTTAAACTGTGTGTGTGTGTGTGTGTGTGTGTGAGAGTGAGTGAGTGTGTGTGTGTGTGTGTGTGAGAGTGAGTGAGTGAGTGTGTGTGTGTGTGTGTGTGTGTGTGTGTGTGTGTGTGTGTGTGTGTGTGTGTGTGTGTGTGTGTGTGTGTGTGTGTGTGAGAGTGAGTGAGTGAGTGAGTGAGTGTGTGTGTGTGTGTGTGTGTGTGTGTGTGTGTGAGAGTGAGTGAGTGAGTGTGTGTGTGTGTGTGTGTGTGTGTGTGTGTGTGAGTGAGTGAGTGAGTGAGTGAGTGAGTGAGTGTGTGTGTGTGTGTGTGTGTGTGTGTGTGTGTGTGTGTGTGAGTGTGAGTGAGTGAGTGTGTGTGTGTACAAGTGTGTGTGTGTCCTGTGTGTGTGTGTGAGTGTGTGTGTGTGTGTGTGTGTGTGTGTGTGTGTATGTGTGTGTGTGTGTGTGTGTGTGTGTATGTGTGTGTGTGTGTGTGTGTGTGTGTGTGTGTGTGTGTGTGTGTGTGTGTGTGTATGTGTGTGTGTACTAGATTCATATATTATTTCTCTTTATAAAGTCTCAGCACATGAGAAACACTGGTCATGTTATCAATCTGTGAGTTATGGATCGCCTGGTTCTGGCCCGAGGCGGTTCACACTCGTGTGTGTGTGTGTGTGTGTGTGTGAGATATTCCCTCTGAATCTCTCGCACCGGCTGAGTGTGTGTCTCTCAGATGTGAAGTGACAGCGAGAGCGAGAGTCTCACACACAGAAGCGACAGAACAAGCCCAATATACAATCACTGTGACCACATACAACCCTAACACTTTATTACACGTTACTACTATAGTAATAACAGTAAATAATACATAATTACAAACCAAACCCTAACTCTATAGTAAGTACATGTAGTTAATTAATATTTACTTATTATGAGTAAGTACAATGTAACTACATCACCTTAAAGTAAAGGGTTACACTTTATTTTAAAGTGTCTTTGTTACACTGTAATTATACATTTAAGTACTGAGTAATAATATACTTACTATAGTGTTAGGATTAGGGTTGGGTTGAGGATTAGTTACATGTAATTATGCTTAATTTATAGGTATTACTATAGTAACTACATGTAACAATGACACTAAAATAAAGTGTTACCAAATAAAGTGTAACCAATGCAATGATTTAAGAATCAACCACTGAAAAACCCACTGTGCATCTGAACATCGGGCCAAACCTCAGAGATGTGTTTAAAATACTAGATAACATCAAAATAAAAGCACATTGTTATGAAACACTGCAAATACTGCACTAAATATTGTACATTACTGAACAATAAACTACCGAACCACCTCATTTAGATCCTGTATTTCTATTTAAATCATATGCACACTTGATAAAAACATTTCTAAACACTGCAAAATGTTACATCACCGAGCGATTAAGTAAATAATAGCAAAATGTTTTGTTTTTCTTTACACGGGACATGCAAATAGATGTTTTGGTCTATTTATTTGTTTATATATCAATCAAAAAGTGTTGTACAAGTAATATTCTTGCTCAGTCGGTTCAATATTTCCTCTCTAAAATAGATATTATTGTGAAAGTGTGTGTTTTTGAGCTGTAATAGTGTGCTCGTGGCTTACCGGTGACTGCAGGTGCGTCCGCGCGCGCGTTACTCCAGGTGTCACTGAACCGGACGGCGCTCGAGCTCGAGCTCTCACGAGCAGGGCGGGGCTTTGTGGGATCCGTCACGTGACCGAGAAGAGCCAACCAGAGAGAAGCTCCGTAAGCCAACGTTATTTGCATCTTCTTTGATTTTTTTTTTTGCTTCCTGTTCTATTTTTATTGTCTGACGCTTTGACAATATTGTACATAAAGCATCATGACAGTTAGCCTGGAAATTGTCTACATTGTTCTATGTTTTTTGTTGTTGTTTTTTCTTCTTCTTTTTTTCAGTTTCATACAACATGGCTAAAAAATGTAGAAAAAATATTGATGTGTAAATTTAGCTGTTCGACCCGAAAGTATGAAAGCCCGTTGAAAATATATTTTATTTAACCTAACCTACAAAATAAAACGTTTTGAAGAAAAAAAAAGGAGGGAAAAGAAATAATATGATATAAAACCGTATAAAACCAGAAGAAATATTTCAGATTCTACTCTATTTGTAAGTTAGGTTTTCTTGGAACATTCTCAGTTTGTTGCGCTAATAATAAAACAGATTGTAACGAACAACTGCGTATTGAATTATAAAAGTATGCAAAATAGACGTTTTTACTAGTCATCTCAGATTTTTAGACCAGTGTAAATATATATAGAGAGAGATAATGATCAGAATTCGAAGTAATATTGTTCTAAATACAAATAAATATATATAATGCTTAAAAATAATAATCGTGCATTGATTTGAGGATTTCACAACGGCATCGACCAATTACATCAGGCGTTCAGATTTTTAACCAATGAGCTTATCGCTGTCATGACGGACGTTTACCCCTACACCGTTGCATTATGGGCATTGTAGTCTCCCGCCAACATGAGATCAGCGCAGTTCCTACGGACGAACGATGATTAAAAACTACAATTTCCTCTGACGCGGCACGTGGTTTGACGCTCGGTTGCATCAGCGTAAATAGTTGATTCACAGACCGGTTTTGATCACTCTTCTCAGTTAAAGCGCTGTGTCTGCCTCACCTGTCGAAGTAGGTTAATTCAAGAGCGTCCTAAAGTGACAGAGGGTCAAATGAAACTGTATATTTCTGAGGGGAA